GCTATTCATTTGGTCATTTGCTAAGTATTTTTTATCGTGATGCTGATACAGCCTAGAATGTGCTGTGACTTTGATGAACATCCTGGTGTCTTGGGAAACTCATTGTCTCATGTTTCCTTTTTTGCCTCTTAGAATATTCTTTCAAATTCTCCTCTGTTTCTGTCCCCCATTGAATCTTACTACCTTATCAAGTTCTAAAAAGTAGCCTGGCACTACTTTAATGCCCCGGGGACATGGGGTCAGGTCTGGAGACATTTTTTGGTTGTTACAGTCCTGGGCAGGGGAGGTGGTGCTGTTGGTATCTAGTGGGTAAACATCCTACCATTCTTAGGAGAGCCCCTTACAGTGATTATTGGACCCAAATGTCAACCATGCACTGAGAAAACCCCTGTGCTAGGGGTGCTTGCTCACATGATACCCTCATTGCATCTGAGGAATAGCAAGATGGAACGTCCCCAGAGCAGCTTTATGGGGCAATTTATGTAAACATCAGAATTTTCATTTTCATGCCGAACACTGAGAGAAGGCTTCTGAGTGTCTGACTTAGGTGAGAAATACCTTTTGAATGCAGTGTTCCTCTCCATCTCTCCCACCTCATAGTGGGGCAGGTGTGGAGGTAGTGGGGTAGGTATCGGAGGATAGAAGACTTTTCTAGTTCTTTATTGGAGTTGGTAGCAGGGAAGCATCAGTCTTATTTCCGAGCTATTTCTGAGGGCCCATTTGAAGAAAAAGTGCTAAACTTAGAGACAGGGGAGAAATCAGATTTTGATAGTGAGTGGAGCCAGAATGGCATTCCTAGCAGAGTCAGATTAACTTTCTAGAGGGAGGCTATTCGGAAAAGAAATATGTAGAACATCCCCTGAGTTTGGAAGGCAAGCTCTGTGTTCAATGACAGAAATCATTTTAGAGGGTCAGAGTAAAAGTACACGAGTTGAACTGTCTCTCTCATAAGTTCTCCGGTTTGGGAGCTGTCTCTTCATTCATTCATCCATGTTAGTGTTTCAGCCCAGCCAGGCTAATAAAGGTCAAGAATGTAGATACTCTGGTAAAGGAGGTTGAGGTGCTTAGTGGCTAAAAGCAGGGACCCTTGAGTTGGACTGGCTTTGAATTCTGGCTCTGCTGTTTACCAAGCTTGTATCCTTGGCAATTAATGAACTCTTTGAGCCTCAGTTTCCTCATCTGTGAAATGGGTATTTTAACAGTACTAACAGGGTTACTTGAAGATTAAATGAGTTAACCTGTCTAAAGCACTCAAGGATACTGATACATGGTAAGACATATTTAAGTGTTAGCTGTCATTACTGTTGTCAGTCTTTCTCTTACCTCTTTCCCTGATCTGCTTATACCCACTGGCTTCAGTTACTGAAGATGATTTGCAAGATTTTCTCTGTACCCTTTGCTGTCAGTGCCATGGGAAAGATCCATTCATTTTTTTCCATCAACCAACAAATATTTTGAGCATCTGCTGCCCTACAGGGTCCTAGATGTGGGGCTGTGGAGATGTCTGGGAACATAGGCTTGATTTGTTGGGTCAGATCAGTGCCCAGAAGGTCCAGTGAGTGCTAGCTTCCTCTTAAGGGGCATCTTAAAAGGTCTTATGTCCCAAACGTGGCTCTGTGAGAGGCAGCCTGGTAGGTGCAGAAGTGCATAGGGACCAGTAGGTCAGGCTCAAACTCTGGTGCACTCTCTTACCAGGTGATGGCTCATAACCGGTCCCAGTCTTAGTTTCCTCACTATCTAATGGTACCACTTGCCTCACAGAGTTATTCTGAAAATTAGACATGAAGTATATAAAAATCCCTAGCACACAGTAGGTGCTCTGTATTGGCTGTAACTATTACAAATCTGCAGGCCATGAGCCCATTTTACCTCTATGAAACTTGTTGATATTTTCTTTCTTTTTTTTAATTTAATTTTTTTTTGGGGGGGTGATTAGGTTTGTTTGTTTGTTTGTTTTAAAATGGAGGTACTGAGGATTGAACCTAGGACCCCATGCATGCTAAGCATGTGCTTTACCACTGAGGTAAACCTTTCTCCACTCCCCCACCCACTGATATTTTTTTGACCATGCCACCTGGTGGGGTCATTTCCGACCTGGGCCGCCAGCTTTCAGAGTTGGGCAGAACTAGCTGCTAATCTCGACCCTGCCACTGACTGTCTCTGTGACTTACCCTTCCTTGAGCTTTAGTCTTGCCACATATAAAATGGAGACAGTAATGATTTCTACATCTCAGGGTTGTTTGGATGATTAAATGAAATACTTCATGCATAATGTGCCTGCTACACATTGGACTCTAAATAAATTAACGGTAGCTACTCTTTATCCTAAAAGTACACGTGGTGGCTTCAGAGCATCAAGGTAGGTGGTTATCTTACTCTTACTCTTCATTTAATTTTTTTTTTGAGTTCATTGTTCTTTTCTGAATTCATTCACAGTTAAACCATGTTTTGAAAGTTTTACTCCTGTCTGTTAATATTTGTAAGTGATTTTATTTAGCTGTGAACTTGGAATGGATACAATTTTGTGTTCTGCATTTTTCCCTTAGTATTGTATGGTTACTGGTGTCTGTGTTTCATAAACATGGCTGTAATGACTGCATCATGTATTGTTGAGTAGGTGCACCATAATTTAATCATTTCCATTTTGCTGTGCAATTAAGTTGTTTCCAGTATTTTGCAATTATAGCATTTCAATGAATGAATAACCTCATGTATATAGCTTTTTGATATTTTACACTTAGTTCTGTGGGATGAATTCCTAGGGATAGTCTTTGATCAAAGAGGGTGAACATGTCTTTTACATGCAAGTGACCAAATTGCTTTCCCAAAGGGCTCAACTGACTTATATTTCCATCTTCATTATTTTATAAACTTCAGTTTATTCTCTTACTCCGCACACATTTTTAAAGCCCTTATCCTGTGGCAGGCGGAGTGAAGGAAGTGACAGTAGGGGAGAAGCTCCTACATTAAAAGGCCCTGCTGTGCCAGGTGCTGATAGAGGCTCAGATTACCTGGAGACCCAAGGAGGGACTCCAGCACAGCTGGCGGAGGAGGCTGAATGTCACTTGAAAGCTTAGAGATTTCACTGTGTGTTGTTTCTTTGGGATTTTTACAGACATAGTTAGCAAGACAGCCCCATCTTGGGTCTTGGAGACCCCACTGACAGCATGCTTTCTTCCGAAGAGAGACTCATTTGCCTTTAATTTTTCCCCCGGTGTGCTATCTATAGCAAACTATTCTTCATAGTCATATGGCAACAGTGGGGTTTTTTGTTGTTGTTGTTGTTGTTCTGTTAGTGAAGTAATACATACTCATTATAGAAAATTTAGAAAACATAGGAAAGTATTTAAAAAATCACCCATGTTCTTATCACCCTAAGACATCCACAATTCTCATCCATGTTTTTCCTTCCAAAAAGAAGGCTTAAAAAGAAGTTTAATGTGGAACCATATCAAAGCTCTTTGGAATTTGAAATGCCCCCAAATCCAACAACAAATAATAAACAAACAAAAAACAAACACAATCTGATGCACCAGCAAAAAGATTAAATTAATTATGATCTATTCATAATGTGGAATCTTAAGTGGCCCTTAAAATCCGTGTTTTGAGAGAATATTTTATGTCATGGAAAGCTCTCCCAGGATGATGTTCAGTGAAAAAGCAAAATACAAAATTATATATGCTGTATAATCTTAATTTTATAGAGAAAAATATTTGTGTATGAATAGAAAAAAAGACAAACACTATTAATGGAAAACCAGTACTAGCTTCATTTACTAGGGGTTATCTCCAGGAAATAGGATTAAGGGTGGTTTATATTTACCTTTTCCTAATTTTCTGTATTTTTAAAAATATCGCATTTTCCATAATAAAAATATATGGCCTTGGGGCACAAGATAGAATTCTATTTAAAGAAAAGGAGGGATTTTGCACCAATGTTCTCTTGACTTCAGGGCTCTGAAGCCACAGTTGTAATTACTCTTTAACCCAAGGCCCCGTGACTCTTCTGGGCTCCTTGGTATTTATTCTAATTAGAACGTCGGAGTGCAGAACTGAAAGGAAGAAAGAGACGACAGACAGGCAGGGGAACCAGTTGTCTGAACATGACAGGTTCAGTTAAATTATGTCTCATGATTTCCATCCTGTCTCTGTGCTTATTTATCCCCTGGTAACTCATTGAGGCAGGTTTTTCCTTTAGAGAAACCCCATTGCTTTAACCAGTGAATCATGCTTACTTAAATGTTTAATGATCGTCTAACCCATTGGAGAAGATGGTGACCAGATCTCGATGGATGGGGAAGAACTTTGCACTCTTCCTGGATCTTTCCAGTCCTGGGTGCACATAGGTCAATGCGGAACTGCATGTGAATTTCCATTGTCCTTTGGAGCCCTCTTCTCAGCTCCTGGGGAGGGGCAACTTTGTGTGTTCCTTAGAGTCTAGGCAGTGTGTGTTTAGCACAGCAGGTGGCCCTGGCCTTCTCCTTTCAACACGTGGTTGTAACATAGCTGACACAGCACTAAGGCTGAGGTTGCAAAGATGACTGGACCCAGTGCTTGCCTTCAGCGTGCTCACATTGTAGTGAGGAAGCCGGAGATAAAAATATGATTCCAGGGTCTCAGGGAAACTGCTGTGGAAGAAGTACACATAGGTTACTCTGGGAACACAGCAGAACCGCTTCCAGCTCAGCCTGAGATTTTAATAAAGGAAATTATGCTCGGCTGAGTCTTGAAGGATGAGGGGCAGTGAGCCGGATGAAGCAGGATGGATCTTCCCTTTCATAGGGAAAGCACAGGGGGATGGAATAGTACATTTTAAGGTGAGAACTGCAAACAGGTCAGCATCATTAAAGCTGAGAGAGTGGTGGGAGAGGCTGGAGAAGCTGATCAATTGTTTAATTAACTTGTCTGGATTTCCCAAAGCCCAGTAGCGTTAGGCATCCGTGTTTGCTGGTTGGTTCGTTTGTTTAATTCACGGTGCTCTGTGTCTTATCCCCACTCAGTGTCAGCTGTTGCTGGAAGTGGCCTGGCCTCTGTTTATCTTCCTGATCCTGATCTCCGTGCGGCTGAGCTACCCACCCTATGAACAACATGAATGTGAGTATCTGAGCATTGCTCCTGAGACTCACCGCTGGCAAGTGAAATCCAAGAAGTGGGCATGGGCTCAATGGGACCTTTCCCAAGATGCTATCTTCAGGAAACACCACAAATGATTTCTAACAGAAAAGCTAGGCTTCCGAGTTTTTGATAAGGGATTAACTCAGGGAAGCATTTTCAGTGCTAGTCAGTGGTGATAACAGTAATTATAATAGTAGCCGGCATCTGTTTCATACATTTTAAATCATGAAAGTAAAATAACCTTACCGATAGCTCAGAGAGGGGTGATTAGAAAAGCGCTCTAAGGCAGTACCTTAACACCACTATCATCTGGTCCCTGCTAGGCTTTTTCGTATGCATTATCTCTTTATCACACAGTTGCAAACCATGGAGCGTATAATTTTAGGGAGTATTTGTGTAGAACATCTGAGATTGACTAATTTTATTTTATCTGATTCTCATAGCAACTTTGCATAATGGACTTTGTTGTTGTGATCATTTGCTTTAATTTCTAGGTAACTAATTGGGGCTCAGAGAAGTGCCAGGATTTGTCTGAGATCATATATCTAATAAGTGACAGTGACAAAATAAAGCTCAGGTCATCGGACTCCCAGTCATGGGTTTTGAGGAGGGCCTTTTCAGTGAGCATAGAAAATACAGTAGTGGCCAAGAACACAAGCTCTAGATGCCAGGTTACCTGGATTTGAATCCTGGCTTCAACACAGATAATGTCACCTTGGGCAAGTGACTTAGCGTCTCTGCACCTGAGTTTCCTCATCTCTATCAAAGGGGAATAATAGTTTCTGCCCCCATATGGTTGTCGTGAGTGTTATCCTCAATCAGTCTTCCTCTCCTGCCTGGGTTTGCTGGATGTATTAACACTGCAAAACTGTGCCAGGCTAAAGGTTCAACATTTATGGGGGAGGTTTAGCTGGGACCTCTGATCCATGGCCCCAATGACTTTTCCTGTCATTAACTAGCTCCATCCTCACCCCGCCAGCCCCATAGGCAAGCAGGATACAGTCCTTTAGGGAAGAGATGGGGCTGGGATCACCTTTGAATTGTGTTCTTGGTCTGGTCCCATGTCTCTCAGGACACACAGTGGCAGTTACTTACCTGCTAATTTGCTGGTACACATTATGCATATTCAAGTTTAAAAAGAACCCATGAGACCTCAAAAGGTTCTATCCGATGTGATTTTCTAATTTCACCAAAAAGGAAAAGCGTGAGCATACAATGAAATATACACTCAGTTTGTAGGCCTGGGAGGTAATTCTGCTTTCTTGCTTGGATCCCAAAAGATTGATGAGCAAATGCGTATTTGATTTTATATAAGCATCACCCTAAGCCCCACTGAAATAAACATTTTAGGGGAAACTCAGCTTTTTCATCTGCTGGGCTATTCTTTCTTTGGAATTATCGCAAGGAGGCAAGGTGGTGTAGTGGAAATAGTGCAGACTTTGGTATCAGACAAACTGGGGTTGGTTTGGATCCTGGCTCTGCCACTTGCTGAGGTTGTGATCTTGGGCATATCATTGAATTCTGACCCAGATCTCTCTGCATCTAGATCATAGATTCTCAGAAATGTAAAATTCTTTTTCTTTTCTCATTTAAAAATTTATTTTTAAATTTATTTGGAGG